CCTCATTTTCAAGCCCGTGCTCTTTACCTTATATTCTGGCAGTGAGATGAGTACTTTGTAATAATTTCATCTTTTCAAGTAAATGTTTTTCACTACATAAAAGTGTCGAAAATTTTGCTCGCTCGCTTCCCGAGCTCGCACAATTCAAAAACCAGAAAATTGACAATCTGGCAAGAGGTGTAAAGTTGTAAACCCGTTTACGCTCCTTGCTCCATTCATAAAAGCATGTTGTGAAATGTCTTGGAGTGGATTAAGAACCTTATGTCAGTGCACGTTGTGGTCCTCATGTTAAATGAGGACCCGATGACATGTTCCAATGGCGGATCTTTAATTGGTTAATTTGACCGGATCAGATCCTATCTGCGGCGAAACGTTGGACATACTAAATGCGATCCGCGGACTGAAAGAAGCGCGAATATGTGTCCTTGATGACATAGTCATTTCGATTATCACCTATCCTAACGTCAAGCCTTACAAGGCAGGAGTATCAGTGGCGTAGCTCCGGAGTGGGGGCACCTGCTCGGTGCCCGTAATGGGGGGGGGGGTGAAAGAAGCCTAAATGTTTGTCACTGAAAGTCATTTCTATAGCATCTACAGTCACTACAAGCCTTATATGGCATAATTATGGTCGTATGGACAATGGAAAATTGCTTGCATCTCCAGTTAGGGGGGGGGGGGGCGGCGTCTACCAATGTCACTTGTCTTATTCACAGAGGCTTTTGTACATGGACAAATTAGGAGCATAAGAGGAGTAGCTCTGGAGTCGGGGCACTTGCCCTATATTATCAAACTGAAAAAAGAGGGGATCCAGTTAGGGGGCGGCGTCTACCAATGTCACTTGTCTTATTCACAGAGGCTTTTGTACATGGACAAATTAGGAGCATAAGTGGAGTAGCTCTGGAGTGGGGGCACTTGCCCTATATATCAAACTGAAAACAAAAGAGGGGATGAAAAGTAAGATGGGAAAATAAAGCGACAGACGGAAGGCGAAATGAAAAAGGAGAAGGTTCGGTCCTTTCTCGCTGATCATGTTTATCTACGTAGTAAGATCAATGTCACTCCCCCTACCCCAACATCACAGTGCCCCTTCAGTAGTTGTATTCACCCACCATCCTAACTATCAATTGCAAAAACGTCTTTAAAAAATAGAACAGAAATTGTCCGAGATAAACTTTGGCAATTTCTGCAGGTCTATCGGAGCTCTGACTATTTATTTCAGAGTCATTGTCAAAGCGACCAGGGAGATAAGGGTAAAAGCTATAGTTACAGAACTTCATGTTTTCCATTTACGAAGAGAATAGACGTCTGTCATCTAGGTCATGTTTTCCCCCAACTAGTATAGTGTACAAAAATCTGTGCCTCTGTAAACGGAAATAGCAACATCATTAGGTACTAAGTTAATGCAGGGTATCAATTATCATTTACCGACTACCGAAAACATCCGTTTCCTTCTGTTTTACGCACTTTTGATTAAAGACCCCAGGGCCCCGTCTTACAAGGAGTTGATATCAATCGTAACTTATTTGCGATTGATATCAATCGTAACTATGTACATAAGAGATAGGAGACTGCAAACTTGCGATTGATTGGAGGACTTACGATTGATTTGGATCGATCGTAACTCTTTGTAAGACGGGGCCCAGAACTACAAAGCGGTGCCGATAATGAGGGTATTATACCTGTATTTGCGGTTAGGCGGCGGAAACACTTACAGCATCAAGTGTTACATAATCATAGAATCCCTAGGACAACGTTTTGACCAAAACAACAGCAAATAGTACGGTTGATTCCAGTTGGGATTATATTTTGAAATCTATTTTTTCTCACTTATTCATTCTTTTTTTCTTCTTCATATTGCAGTACGCTTGTATAAAATAAACAGGGAAAAAGGGAACATATAGCCCTGAATAATGATTTCTTTGGTCACTGTTGGAAAAGTTAAAGGAGTTCTCTAGTCCACTTTGAAAGACAGCCGTCAATAATATCGATCTTTTCTAAGATTTGTACTTTCTGGAAGTTTGCATGTCTTTTGATATAAATATCATACCATGAGCTCTTCTGCTGGAGTTCTGTATAAACCACATGGTCTAAAACAAAACTAGAGACTTGCATTGAGTTCCATCTGTCCATGGACTCGTCTTATCTTCCAAAGTACATTTTCTGAACATTGATATCTATTATGATATGAATAAATATCTGAACGTTATTCTCTGACTGTGTTACTCATAATCTTTAAACTCCCTTGGAGTTGTGGGTGGCCAAATTGAATGGATACAACAGCAGGACTATGGACCACGGGCATGCTGGGTTTGCATACACCCTACCGCATTAATGTAGTAAACCGTATAAAGCAGGCTCTTTTGATGTAAGTATGAAATTCTGCAAGATTATGTGATATAGGCCTAAGTTTGTTTGTGTATGATATTATACGATCAAGGAACACTGTGAAAGGGTTTTCTTAAAAGAAAATTTGAAAGAGAATTATCTGGACATTAGCTATTCTCACCCGAGTGTTTTAGATCAATCGTGGACTCTCATGATTGTGATCACGAAATGGATAACTCCTCACAATATGGCCCTACAAGTTCTAAATGGGGTAATAGCTGGACCTCAAAGGTAAAGACCAGTTCTGGTCATGCGATTGCATTGTGAAAGAAACGTTGTGGAATCGATCAGAATTGGTTGATCCTCTAGCATAAGTATTGGTGTGTACCGCAAGATTCTGGAATTATCAAAATGATAAGAAATTTGACCCAGTCTTGGTAAAGTTACAAGCACTGTACACAGAAAGATGTATATGGGACTACGCGATATCTATCCAGGCCGGATAGATATGATAATTTACCAAATATATTCATTAGTACTAGTAGAAGGCTTCACAAAATGTGTATCATCACGTATTAGTAAAAACATATTCTTTCACATGATTGGTAATAAGAGCTTCCATTTCATTTTTGAGAGGGGGGGAAGCGTTTCCAAAACATGTCTATACTTTTAAAGTACACGGACCTACTCACTGTCAGGTCAAGATTCTCTAGATGTTTTTAATCTATTGTCACCTCCATACTTGACGCCATGGAGGCAAGGCCAGCATCGCAACGGAAGCCGACAATTGCAGCGGGCCAGTTTCAATAGCAATCACCCATTCTTGATCTGAGTAATCACATTCCTATGGACCAGGATACAATCCCAAAACATTGCTATGAATCCTGAATGAACTATTTCGAAGCCAATGAACCAGTATAAATGGGAATCAGATCGGAATTTATTGAAACATGTTTCTGTTTAGATACAACTAGAACGAATAGAAAAATCGAAAAGAAATAATAATAATATTAAAAAAAGTGCATCGATGGAACCATTTCGAAGCAAATGAATTAATGAACCCAATATAATTTTTGTACAATTACAACAGGCAGTGGCGCGGCACATGGCCTCTATCGAATAAGGAAAAGGGGTGAAAGAGAGCAAAATAGGGGAGGGGGTCGAAGGCGGAAGGCAATTTGTACAAGAGAGGAAAAGACGCCACGCCCACTCCCCCTTTACAGTTTACACCATTCGACACTACCGCATGGTACTATCGCATATCATCACCTAACACTTCAGACCCCCCCCCCCCCCCGCATGAATACCACATTCTATTGCTGGACTTTTGCTACGCCAGTGACTTTACTGCAGCAAAATCGTAATAAAGTAAATTTGTTGATACAAAAATACAATGATAGGAAAATTGGAAATAAAAATCAAACGAGTAAATAATTATGTTTTAAAAAGGAGGTTTGGGGAAGCAAAATCTTTGCTCAGTATCGGAAGAGATTGGGAAGTATGATTCTATATATATTCCTATTTAAAATCATAATAAATGCAATTCCCAATTAATGTTTTTATCAATACGTGAAGGGAACACGAGTCACCTTGACAGAGTAATGTCGGAAATTCATAAATGAATTGATACACAAGTAGATAATAATATGGAGAAGTAGAAAATTAGAATAACATCCACCGGGGAACTCCAAAACAGCGCCCGGCGAGGATAGCGTATTTCCCACTAATCTTTGGGACTATAAATAATACTACATTACGTATTTCATTTCAGCTATTCATAAACGAGAAAGAAAAGAAAAAAAATCCCCCCATGAAACAGGCCACTGTTGGTGCCACCCCCCCCCCCCCCCCCCCCCCCCCAATAGAAGGGAACGATGCTACTGTCCGTAAAAGACCTAGTTTTCATGTACCCGAAACTAAATGAGAACTGCGAGACGGAAATGCCTTGATATATTTTGTCATAGATGCTGAATATAGAGGGGTTTATTTATATACATATGTTTTTGTTTGATTGTTTTTGTTCATTGTTTTTATTTTATTACAAAATGCAGTGAAAAACTTCAGTAAATACATCTCAAATATATTCTGTGTTTTCTATCCATGTATACAACTAAAGCATAATTTCAGAATTATACGAATTTCTTTTAGGAAAACGAATCAAGGGTTATTCAGTTGCAGATCATATAATTTCTTGATCATAGATAATTATGCAACGCTACAATGAGTTAATGTAAGATCAGGAGACAGCATATTTGAAGCATCATTTGACATCGAATATATTGTTTTAGTTCCTTTGTTCTCATTCATTGTGTTACTAAGCTTCTTATTTGTTGGTACACACTACACATTCCTACTGAACCTATGTTTTTAAATCAATAGAGTGAAACTCTTTGATCATTAAATCATTTTATCCACAAAATGAGAAAATAATCCCACGGCGAGTATGTTTCGAAAGAGTTAGGCTTGCTCGTATACGGATTGTTAGATGTAAACAGGCATCAAACCCAAAACAGTTCAAACATTGCGCGGAATAATGAAGTAATATCTGTTCATATAGGCCTACTAGTACTGTACTACTTCGATTTTTAAAAAACAAATTTTCGTATAATAATCATTTCAGTTTCTTTAAAATATATTTTTGAGAAAAAAAAATCGTGAATAATGGGAAATGTTACCTGATGGTGTACGTTCATGACAGCTCTGTTCCTCATATTGCTCATATGATTCTGCAGGCAAAAGGTACAGATAATCCTAGGGCCTGCCTCGCTACCAGGTCGGAGCATGGCCCGATGCATGCACGGCTGTTCAATCTCCTCATCCCCGACGAGAAGGAGAGTACCTAAATGGTTGATATAACTTGTCGCTAACCTTAGGGTCTCGATTTTAGAAAGTTTTCGATCCCTGGGTTCAGTGGGGATAAGATCCCGTAACTGCACGAAGGCGCTGTTGACGCTATGAGTCCGGTCGCGCTCCCGGGCGTTGGCGGCACCGCGCTGCCGAGGGATACCCTGAGAGTCAAGCTCGTAGGTGATGTTGGAGTCCATGTTCATGTTGTAGTTGTTGGCGGATGGTAGAAGGGGACGATCGCCGGAGACTCGGCGATAGCCTCCCGGGTCGGAGCGGTCTGTTGACGAGGAACTCTCGCTGTCGGAATCAACGCCTCGGCCGCCTTCGCTTTTCGAGAAGGCGTCGTGAACTTTCCGCTTCGGCATTTCTTCTACTTTTGAAAATATAATTCAAAGATCTTGGTTGGTAGCTGAACAAAAATCAAAAATTGGTTTGCAAATTTAGTCATAAAAGTGACAAATCAGTGATGTCCAATGATCAATCCTTTCAGAAAATTCTTGCGAGGCGCTGGCTCAATCTTGGCTATAAATACTTCCCAATGAGTCAGTCGTGCTTAGAATCTGATCTCCAAGAAATAAAGCTGTTGCATCCACAATTCATTTAAATAAACGTGGCACAAAAGTTGGATTACGAAATAATCAGCGTCAAATTTATCAGTCACCAGGTCCTGGGAAGAGGTTCTCAATCAAACGTTGATCCTATTTTTTAGTTTTGGATATAAACCACGGACCTTATCGTCTGATTTCGTTATATCCTCCAACAACTAAATCTAAAACTAAAAGCGCGGTAAAGAAAGAAATCGCATTTATTTTACAGACTTCTCCCAGTCGACGATGTAGATTTTATTCCAGTTTTCAGCCAAATTCTGGGCCGGTACCCAGTGGGTGAAGAAACGTTAATGGTCTTGCTTGAGGGGTAGAAAGTGCAACCCTCTCTTCACTGATCCAAAGCCGCAAATGGGACCAAGTGTTGTCGCCATAAATCAATGGTACGCAGCTGGTTAGAGCACGAGGGAGATTCGGCACACAGCAGACATGAGAGACGGACTGCTAGGCACAGGTTCTCGTCAGTCGATGTGCATTACAGTGTCTGCACGGTGAGACTATGATGACGGCATACTGCATAGGCTTTGTAGTTTAGCTGCCCCGTACTTGACAGGCTAGGAATAACAAAGCCAGGCTCTGCTCAAGGGCAAGGTGTTTTTTTAGGAATTGTAGTAAAGTGTCAAATTGGAGTGCGTGCCTGCAGACTATACCTGCAGCGCGCGCGGGAACAAATAATATAGCAACATTTAACTGCCAGGACGCTGTTCAGAATATACCAAACTATTATAGAGCAGTGGGGGGCAGGGGGTTCAAATGGCACCCCCCCCCCCCCACGCCCAGATATGCCTTGATCCTCCACTGTATATTTACTCATCCAAGATGTGAAGTGGGGGGGGGGGAGGTGCCCTTTGGACCCCCTGTCCTCCCCCCCCCCCCCCGGCCAAAGTATGACTGGGTAATACAGTGGCGCACGTGGGTCGAGACATTGAGGGGCTATGAAATCAAAGGGCGGGAGGGGGGCATCGATCTTACTACTTACTAGGTGGATGGAATCTAAATTAACAATGCCCTTCCCTCTTAATTTTTTTTTGACCAACCACTAGTGTTCTATGAGTGTAAGCAAAGGACTGGTCCTAGCAGGGACGTGAGACTTTAACTCACATGCCCTGGTCCTAGTAATATCCATAACACTTCAAACAGTTTATTTTATGTTTTAAGAATAGAGCATATTAGAAAGATAAAAGCAAGAGGCTCATTGTTTTGAACTCTCTTCTTGCTCATTATTTAGGAATGTTAACTCCAGTAGGCCTGTTAGACTGTTAGATAGAAATTTGAGAACTGTTGTATGAGATATCCTTTTTTTTCTATGACAGATTTGTCGGTATTGTACAGCATTGTTGTTGTAGCTACGAGAGGGACAGAGACCCACTTGTAGCCCCCCCCCCCCTAAAAGAGAAAATATCACAAAAGGACACGAAAGAGAAATGGGAAGAAAGGAGAGGTGCGACGCAAAAGTGAGATGATATGACCATGGACCTGATAATATTGATATGACCCTTTCTAACACCCTACCCCACATCCGAATACACCTCATGTTTGATCCTGACAATAATGTCTGCCCCATTTGGCAGAACGACTGTATCAAGCCAGTATTGAAACACTGTCATGAAATAGAAAGACTGGAACCCTTTCTAGCACAAACCCTAACCCACGATACTCTCTCTCAGCGTAGTAGGTCCATGCTCTAAGTCACTTTACAGGTACAGATATGATTTCAGTCTCTTTCATATTTCTTCTGTTGCGTCATTTGACCCAAGAAATTAGGGCGAACCATCTCGACCTCTGCTCTGAGGCGCCATCTTTAATGAGTGATATTTATTTCGCTCGTTACTCTTATACCGTCATGCCGAACAAAAGGTAATCCATTGTTTATGTAAGACTCTGTCTTAAACGAGGTTAAAGATGTCATCTGATATTTCCGAAAAATTATCCTGAAGTAGATTCGGGCATAATGTTTTTGATTTGTCTCGAATAAATTTGTAATTTTATCAGTGATGATCAAATATATTGGAAAGTAAGTTGTAACCCTAATGGTTAATAGAAGGGGAATTTGTGCCTTTTTTTTGGGGGGGGGCGTTTATCATCATTAGGCTACTTTGTTCACTATAACGTGAGGAAAGGTGCATTTTGTTTACGAATGTCATTTTATTGACATGCGTTAATCGGGTCCCGAGTTGATCTTTAAATCGTATAAGAAATAGTGATGGCTAATTTGTGCAATACTATAATGATTGCATAATTTAGATGGTGCCTTTAAGATGTAGGCCCATGCAGAACCATCATGAAAAGTAATGTGATGTCACCCAATTACCTTTACATTTTATGCACATTATGAGGTCTATAAATCTTATTTTCAGCTCGGGCAAGAATATGCGGACCAGTCAGATTTTTAAGCCACGAGTATATATAACAAAGCAGCGCATTTTTACCAGACCAAAGATTACATAACGTTTTAGAGACTTCGGTGGTAAGCGCTTTATAAGCACCGTTTTTATTATTGTTTATTTATGATGGCTAAAAAATATTTCAATTTGACGCAGAATTCAAGTTTCTATTTTAAAAGCTGCTGAAAATATAAAGCTATACTGAAAATAAAATTTCTCAATATTTCTGAAATGTATAGTGATCCGTCTATCCAGCTGAATTGGAACAACGGCAGCCTCTATTGTTAGTTTTTACAAGCAAATTTCATTTGCAATGGTATGATTGAAATGTAATGGTATGATTACAAATACTAGTTTGATTAAAAACAAATTTCATCACAATCTTGACCGAAAGGTATAAATGCCCTTTGTATATCACATTCATAAGTATGACCAGGGATGATGGAGCTACAACCAAAGGCCTTTTGTTACTTTTACTGCAGCTAATCCATCAATTTTATATTAGCAATCTGTCTACAATTAACATTAAACTCAAGCGAAGGGCTCCCTGCTGTTTGGGGTAGTTTCTCAATGCAAAATCGCGGATTAGTTAGGGCTTAAAATCTCGACATGTTGTACCGTGTCAAAAGGACCGCCCCTTGCCAAAATACAATCGCTTTCTATTCTGTTCCTTTTGCGGGTCAATTTCTAGAACTGTCGTAAATCAGTAGGACTTCATCTTTAAATTTCAGAGTTTTTCGTTTTTCTAGATTTTGGTAGAATGCGAAGAGATTGTTAATTAGAGACAGGAAATGATGCGTTCATTCGGCTCAAATAAGAGACGAACACCTGCTTAGACATTTCAAGTTCGGTGTCATTAATGTTCAATTATGGAAGGTGTTTTCAAATCTTTCTTTCGAAAAATAGAGAAGAAAATAACTGCAAACTTGAGCGATATCAGTGGTTCGTTTTAATAAGGTTTACAATGTAAGAAAGTTTCCTTTTTCATCCTTTCGGATGTTTATTCGAAAAACTGTATCCACTCTAAAAACAAAAAAGCAAACAAAATGTTGGTATTTTCCCTCTGTTTATTTAAAGGTAAAGACCAGTTATGGTCATGCGATTGCATTGTGAAAGAAACGTTGTGGAATCGATCAGAAAAGGTTGATCATCTAGCATCTAGCATCTGCAAGGTTCAGGAATCATCAAAATGATAAGAAATTTGGCCCATTCTTCGTAAATTTACAAGCACTATACACAGAAAGATGTATATGGGACTACCCTATATCTCTCACAGACCATGAGAGAAACAAATTTACCAAATATATGAATTAGTAGGCGGTTTCCCGGCAAATTTGTTATCATCATGTATTGGTCAAAACATATTCTTTCACATGATTGGTAATGAGAGCTTCCATTTCATTTTTTGAAATTGGGGCGTTTCCAATACTGGTCTTTACCTTTAACACATTGGAAAAAATACGTAATATAATATATGGGAAACTATATCGTTGTGTTTATAATCATAAGAGAAACATAAAAATAAAAGGTATAGACAAAATAGAGTAGTTATAATAATGATAATAATTTTGTTTACCGAAGGACGCCTCATCAGCTTCAATGCTGTTCTCCCTGAAGGCTCTGCAATTATTATTACCACGACAAATGCCTGGTTTCCATTTACACCTGGATGGAGAGTGGCTATTATGGATTAATGTCTTGCCAAAGAACGTTAATGAATAGAATTGAGGAAAAAGAAAAGAGAAGAAGAAGAAGAATAGGGTATTTAATGTTTATATTTTGTATGTATCCCCCTTGCTTTCATTTTCATATATGTTTAGATGCCTTTTGTTTTACAAGCCTTCTGCTATTTTGGGGAGTATCTTTTCATCTAATTTTTGCCAATTTGTGTATTCATGACTGTTATATGTGTTTTTTACACTGCTGAATGATGAATAAATAAAATTGAATTGAAGAAAGAAAATGGACGGTCTACATATTGACTAACAATCACTGGAAAGCCTGAGAAAATATCAAATATCTGCCATTTCTAATTCATCATCAGTGCAATTTATGAGGGCGGTTTCACTAGGTTCACATCTTACCATTTTAGTACGTTTGGCGTGGCGTCAAAGAAAGAAGACTGGTTCTGAACATTTTACGGAGGAAACTTGATACATAGTATCTGCGCTGACCCTGCGAGAGAAAGGATTGAATACCACTCTTGCTTACTTCATTTTCATGACACAAGCATGGGGTATTCCAATATGAACGCGGTTTTACTTGGGAACTCTGCAGAACACATTGAAATCTTGAGTTAGCGACCCAATGTTAAAACCATCTAGAAAGCTGCATTAGCTTTAACTTCATTATCCTGAGTACACGGAACCCAAACAACTTCCGTGGTTTTAGCATCATTATGAAAAAAGGGGAATTTGATTACAATATCAGATTTGATCTTTTTGTGCATTACTTTTTTTTTTATCATTTCATTTTTTGGGAAGTGCAAGCAGGCGCCGATCATTTTGACGCAGGAAGCTCCGGGCGCCTGTCTGTCCGGCAGGATGGTGAAATCATTTCTTTCGATGCAGGTACAGTATGATTCCAGGCTCAATCACATACGTCTCTGCCATCACCTCTTTACAAGGATTTAAAAAAAAAAAACACACATTTTATTCCCATTTTCTTTGGGAAATCTAAAAGCAAGGAGGGGTGGTGTACTCTTAGGAAATTCATGTAATTTTTGTGCCAATAGGGCGGGTTCAATATGGTGAAGTTATATAAAATAAGACGCGCACGGGACACGTCCCCCCCCCCCCCCCCCATCGAAAAAACAGATTTCAAAGAAAGAGGTTAAGAGGATGAAGAATGATGATGATAATGATAATTTCATTTACCCCTGGAAGCCTAATCAGCATTGATTCTGTCCTTCCAGAGGTCCCTGCAGTTATCATAACAAAGGAGTTTCACCTTTAATTATCTCCTTGTTATAACCTCAGTGCTTACCAGGTATAACCCATTACGATACACCTGGGTGGAAAAGGGAAAAACCTCGGTAAAACCCAATGAGATCCTCGGGGGAAAATATTAAGTTCAAGGTTTTAAGCACGAGAGAGGAGCAACATCAGGACCTCTCAATTATTATGAGAGGCAAGAGCCTTCAAGAGAGAGAGAGAGGGGGGGGGGGGTCCACCCTGATATTGAGTTGGTTTCATTACAAGCAGAAAATGCAGAAAAT